ACTTACGGAACAAGCACCATATAAATGGGCTGCCTGGACACAGCCCACTTTTAATTATTCAGTCTAGATTTTGTCCCATTTCTCCTGCTTTATGATTTCTCTATTTGTTCTTTAGTTACACCCTTTTCTTGCCCTTAGGAGTTTAATTCTTCTTGGCCACTACTTTGCCTCCAGGAGGCTATAGCTCTGCCTCTCTTTCTTGGCAATGGTTTTCCTCCCTGATTCCACAGGGCCCAGGGTCTACCCCACTGATGTTATTTTCATCCGGCTCATATTGGCCTTGCTAGCAGACCTAAGATTTCTGGGACACTTCACCTTACTTTGGAGAAGCATATGTTGACCCTGTGGTGCTTAAATGTGGCCTGTTTAGTGATGATGATGGAAACTGCTATCCTAGAGGCTGACTGTGGTAAACTGCTTGAGCCAGCTGGGAAGCCAAAAATGGAATGCATCTCTGGGCCCTTTCTTTTCACACTTATAGCTCAGCCTGCCTGCACTTGTGCTCCCAGTGTCCTCTAGAGCGAGGCCCGATTGTTGCGGCTTCAGTCAACTTCTTAACAGAAGTGTCCATGGAAGAAAGTGGCCCATGTTCTTTTCTCATTCGTAGCATCACACTCTTCACAACTAATGTCCTGAAAAAGATAAATTACTTTATCTGCCCAAATAGAAGATACACAGAAAGGAGGGAATTGCCTTTATTCCAGTTTTTGAGTTCCTTTCAGATCATCAGGCAGTATTTTGAACATAAAATATAAACTATTGTTTGGAGAAGGCCTATCAGCCTAAAATGACCCCAATCAGTGCTAGTTGGGAATAGTTTCCCTTCATAAGGTTGACCCCCCCCAAAAAAAGAAATGAAAATAACTTAACACAGATTTAGTAATTATCTGGTGGCATAACTTTCAGGTGTTGGATATCTTAGTAAACAAAGTGAAAGAGGAATAAAAGGAAGGCAATAATTTAAGTGGTGATGTTGTAACAATGCACAACTGCCTGTGTATCTATAGGACAGATGAAAAAACAATGTTCTAATGTTATTTAAATGGCTTTGGACAAAAGCTCAGTGGCTGCATTATATTTGGATACCAAAATCCTATTATTTCAAACCCTTTAGAGGTTGTATGTTACAGTGTAAAAGAGACATCTTTTACAGAGCCTCTCAGCTGACTCAGGTCTGAACTGTTACCCCTGATCTGTACCTCATCCTATCCTTCTGACCACGGACATTGTTTTTGATCCTCCCATTATGCTGTTTATGTTTCCTTTCAGATTATTTTTTAAAGATTGTATTTATTCATTCATTCATTCACTCATTTATTTTAGAGAGAGAAAGAGAGTGCACATAAGCACGAGCAGGGGGAGGAGCAGAGGGGAAGGGAGAGGGAGGAGAAAGAATCTCGAGCAGACTCATTGCTGAGCCCCAATCCCATGACCCTGAAATCATGACCTGAGCCAAAACCAAGTGTCGGAAGCCTAACCAACTGAGCCACCCAGGCGCTTCCCACTTCAGATTTGATGCACATGTTTGACTCTCTAACCACATTGCTGAATTTGGCTGTAATGCCGCCTCTTTATCCATAGGGCATCTCTGAACTACCTTGGTAACTCTACTTCTAGACTGATTTACTCTGTCCTGATGGGATCCTTTTAGTCTGGAGCCTGAGAGGGTTTTACCAGAGGTGAGGTTACCATGAGGCTAATGAAGTTTAAATTCCAGGTTCCATGCTCACTTGGTTTCATTTGGGTTTCTGGGAGTTGTAGAATGTTCCAGGTGGAGAGAGGAAGCATTTCTATGTAAGCATTTATGTTACTCAAGAGATCTCAGAGAAAGGAACTTGAATCTCTACAGCTTCAGCATTTTAGGGTGATTTCTTGTCACATTCTAAATAAATATTTACTTTTGTACCAAATCGTGCCTTCATAATTTTGTGTTCTTATTCTTAGAAAGGATCACACAAACTGTATATCTTCAGGCCACACAAAATCCCAGTGGGATCTGCCACTGGTTTTTACTAAATGAGGTACCTGGGTGTTTTGCTAGTACCTATTTACCTGCATCTAGTAACACACAACTTAGAAGAATAAACAAACTAAGTAGAATCTAGAGAATACCCAAATGACTCTAAAATCAATGCTTTGCTGACTCTTTTACAAGAGAACTGGAACTTGCTGGCAGCCAGTATATTGCAGTGTTAGTATTAGTGACTGCTCTAAGACTGGAATTCACATACTTACTTTAGTTCAAGTTGGCACGCCTTTGTGGATCGCCTACTGTGTGTGATCAAGGTGCTGGGCCAGAATCATTTTTTAGTTTAAATGCAATTTAAGAGACATTTGAAATTGTCTTAACAGTGAAGTATTTTTAGTTCCTCGGAACTCTAATAGTAGTTCTCTTTAAAGAAATAAGAAATTGGAGCCACTGTGATAAATATGATTAAATGCCAGGGAACAACAATGATAAATTGTTGGCACCAGTCGTTTGATGTTCTGTGAAACAAAGAGACTTGTCAGTCTGCCAGTGCTAAGAGTTTCAGTGCAGAGGATATAAAATGAAAAATATCCTTAATCTTTTTTGTAGATAGTTTCATAGATGATGGCCCTGGGTAGGTTTGGGGTAACTATTTTTCAAACCAAGGAACCCTAAATTGAAAATGAACTGTTTTATGTTCATCATTTCATCATTGTTTTAAAATGTGTCATTCAATCAGTATCAAATGCTTGTGTTTGAGAAATATCATAAAATTCCTAAAAGACAAGTAAATATATAATGTCAGGTACTGATAAATGTTTTGAAGAAAAAGTCAGAGGAGAGAGATTGATGTTTGGGGTTGGGGGTGCTGTTTTAGAAATGCTGTACTGACTTCCTAGCTATTCCTCGAATTTGCCAAGCAGATCCCCACTGGTTAGAACTTTTTTGCACTTACAGTTGCTTCTGCCCGGAAAGCTTTGTTTCCTTCAGTCTACTGCTTCAGTTATTTTCTGACTTCACTCAGTTTAAAGTAGTACCTTCCACCATTCTGTTCTTTTTCCCTACTGTACAAGCATATCTTTACCATTTGATTTTGGGAATCAAAGAGATTAAAAGAAATTCTTGGGGCACTTGGGTGGCTCAGTCAGTTAAGCATCTGCCCTCAGCTCAGGTCCTGCGATGGAGCCCCGTGTTGTCGGGTTCCCTGCTCAGCAGGGATTCTGCTTGTCCCTCTGCCCCTCCCCCTGCTCGTGCTCTCACTCTCTCTCAAATAAATAACGAAATCTTAAAAAAAAAAGAAATTTTTTGATAAATCCTTTGCTGTCTGAACTCTTACTACTTGCTCTCAAATTCAGAAATTAAAGAGATTTTTAAAATATCTCTTGCTATTTGATCTGTATGTCTGAATTAGGAACCAAGTAATTTTGTATAGTAAAGGATACTTGTTTTCTTCATAGCACTTTATACCCTCTGATTTGTCTTTCTATCTGTTTGTCTGCCTGACTCCCTCACTCCTTCCACAGTGGCTGTGGAATGGCTGGGACTTTGTTTTGTCCACTGCTCTATCCCCATCACCTGGAACAGTGCCTGGTACCTAATCAATTCTCAATAAATATGAGTTAAATATATGTGTTAATAGATGAATGAATTATTGCTCTCTAGCTATGTTGATCTTCTTTCACTTGCTTACATTTACTAACCTCTTTCCTTTGCAGAGGTTATTTCATTATTTGCTTAATATCTGTCTCCTTCTATATTATAAATTCTGTGCGGTAGAGACCATGGTACCATTTACTTGTCAGTACCTAGCTAATGCCTAATATGTAGTAGGTACTGAAACATTCTATGGGGGAATGAATGAATGAATGATCAGGAGAAGTTCCTAGTAGGAACACCATATCTAATCTAATGGAAGTTAAGGGAAGTGAATTTCAAGCTGGGATCTGAAAAATAAGGATGAATTAGCAGGTGAAGAAGACCAGGCAGAGTGTTCTGGAGCTTAAGCTCAGACTTTATCCTAAAAGCAATAGAAGAATTTTAAACAAAAAAGTGGCACTATCAGACTTGCATTTTAGATGGACCATTTTTCAGTGGTGTTAGGAATAGACTAGATGGGCAGTGTCAAAGCAGAGAGACTGGTTGGGAGGCTTTAGTGATAGATGGTTGTGGTCTCCATTGAGTTCTTGGCAATGGGCAAAGAGAGAAGTAGATACACTTGAGAGATTTTTAGAAGGCCGAATAAGTGATTGGGGCTAGTGAGGGAAAGGGAAGAGTTAAATATGATTCCAAGCTTCCACCTTAGGCAAATGAGAAGAACGTAGGGTACACAGTCTCAGTTGGAGGAGTCAGCTAAGGAGAAAAGAGTCTGAGGAACCCTTAAGACCTATCTAAATTGAGCCTGAGCCTTAAGGCTGCGCCTTAAGAACTTGGTAATATAACTGAATTTTCTAGGTATAGATACTGAGATGCCTGGAAAGAAATAATCAAAATAATCAAAATGTTAATAGTATTGAAAGTCTAGTTATGTTTCTAAATTTTTCTTAATAAGCTTTGGTTATCATTATTGGTGTGTTTTATGAAGAAAAGTAATAAACTTTTAAAAATTATATTAGGATCTGCCATAGGAAATGCTGTACCAAAAAAACCCAAGGACACAAAGCTAAGGCCTTCCTAGGCTATTCCCAATGAAAATATTGTTCTCAATAGAAGCCCACTGTGGAATGGGTTCACCTTAGCGTGTGTGTGTGTGTGTGTGTGTGTGTGTGTGTGTGTGTGTGTTGGGGGTTGGGGCAAGAGAGGAGTGGTCATTCAGAAATTTAACCTTTTCATTCAAAGAAGGTCTGCTGGAGCCAGAAAGTGTCTCTTATTTATTCACTTATCCTTAGTCTTCAGCACAGTCCCTGACAGTAACGGCTTAAGTGAAAGCTATTATTTTAGATTTTGTTATTAATATATTTATTTTTATTTATATCACTATTCACTGTAATTGTTATACAATGATGTTATTTGTGTCATCTTGGTTTGTAGGTAGATTGGGGCCAACTCGACTATTTAGTTGTTGACATGCCACCAGGAACTGGAGATGTGCAGTTATCAGTCTCACAGAATATTCCCATTTCAGGTAATCTTAAACTTTAAAGTGGTTTGTGCTGTCTTTGTTGTTTTGCTATTGCCATATAGAAAAACAAACTCTATGACAGGCAAACATTTTTATGTCTTCAAAATAGTTATTTATAAATTTTTATTTAGAGATCAGATTCATAAATTAAAATTTTCAAAATATTACCAGACTGAGTGTGTTTACAAAAACATAAAGACATTTTGAAAAAGTGGTGATATAAATCTGTGTTCTAGAAAAACAATAACACTTTATTGTTTAGGTAGAACATGGCTGTTTGGTTCACAGTCACCTGCAGTGACAGCATAGTGCCCGCTACATGGCAGGCACTCAGTAAATATTTATTCAGTAAATACTGAATATAAGTAAATATTAGGAAAATTTGGCTTTTTGGTAAATATGAGTATGGGAAAATTTTATATTCAGCTGATTATTTAATGTTAACCTTAAGAGGGCAATAAACATATGAGCTTACATCAACTACCCAATACTTCATTATGGTAGTAGATATCTTTTCTGTGATACAGAATATAAATATCAGTAGTTAGCTTTTGTGTTGAATCTGTTTCCAAGGATTTTCCTAAATTCCAGTGGAGAAATAATTGTAAATCTCTCTTATATATAAGGACTTTGGGAAAATAATGGAATTTTTTTTAAAAAGATTTTATTTATTTATTTGACAGAGAGAGAGGCAGTGAGAGAGGGAACACAAGCAGGGGGAGTGGGAGAGGGAGAAGCAGGCT